GCTCTTACAAAGATCCAGACTTCCTTGTAAGGCAGGATACAAGTGCTACAGCTCTTACAAGAGCCAAACCTCCTTGCAGGGCATGATACAAGTATTACAGCTCTTACAAAGAGCCAAACCTTCTTGCAGAGCAGGATGTAAGTGTTACAGCTCTTGCTCTTCTGCTCTCTCTCCCTGGGAGGTCTGCAGTGATCTGCCTCTAGGCTCTCTACTCAAGGGTTTATATAGGGGCAGTTGTCCAATGAGTTTTCAGGGCCTGAAAACAGACCAATCAGGAGCAGGTTTTGAAAATGGACCAATTAGGGATGCACTGGAGGAATTGCCAGTGTCTTCCCCCGCTCATGTCTGGTTCCTTTGGCTGCTGGAGCCTCCAGTGGGGGAGGGAAGCTCCCCTAGCTTGCCTGTGCTCCAGCCTGCTCCAGCCTGCTGGTTCCTCTGCCAGCTGCCACCACCAACACCACCAAGACCAAGGCGGCAGATCCTCCAGCCCTGCTCAGCTGAGCTGGCTGGGCACCACCTGTCCAGTATCAGCAGCACAACTCATAATTTGCAAAGATGTGGTATCAACCCAAGTACCCATCAATTCATGAGTGAAAGAGAAAACATAGCATATACGTATACTAAAGTACTACTCAGCCATAAAAAGGAATGATTAATGTTTTTTGCAGCAATTTGGATGCAACAGGAGACCAGAGACCATTATCCTAAGTGAAGTATCTCAGGAACGGAAAAACAAACACCACATGTACTCCCTAATAATTTGGGACTAATTAATGGGCTCATACGGGCACAGAAAGAAGTAGAAATCATCAAAAATTAAGAAGGGGGCAGGGGAAATGAGAGATAAAAGCCTTCCTAACAGATAAAATGAACACTACTCAGATGATGGACACACTTACATCCCTGACTAAAGCATTATAAAGCTATCCACATAACAAAAACATTTTTCCTCCTTAGTATTTTGAAATAATAAAAATTAAATAAAATAATACATTTAAAAGAAAAAGTAAAATATTAAAAAGCAATTGTTTTTTGTATGTTAATATTATGCATATTTTATAACCTTGCTATAGTTGCTTCTTAGTTTTAGGAATTTTTTCCCCCAAAATCTATTTTTACTGATGCATATAGATATACATATTTTGTGGGTACATAAAATAATTTAATAAATTCATAAATTTTTTGAAGGGAATGACAAGAAAGGGTAACTCCCAGTTAAAAAGACACTCATGAAAAGAAAAACTCTTGTTCAGAAAAAACAAGAGAACATTATGGCAAATTTTACAAATATGAAACTAGAGCAAAGGTTCCCCAACTTTTAAGTCCCAACAAAGAAAAAAACATAGTATTTTTATATTTTATTTAATATTGACAATCACTCATTTTTGTGATGTGTATTAGTTGGGCGCTCGGAACAGCCTTGGCCACCCTCACTTCCTGTTCCACATTGACTTTTCATCAGAGCTACCGCCAGAATCCTAGCTCCAAAAAGATTCCATTTTAGTGGAATGTGTCACCACTAAATGCTAAAACAACATGTTTTTAACAAGTAGGACCTAGTTTTCATTACCCCGAACTCAAAAACTTTAAATATCCTGCCAAGTTCTCATGATTTTCTTGCAGTACCCAAGGGCACCTTAATACTCAGTTTGGGAACCATCAGCCTTTTGAATAAGTTGATGACAAACTTCAAAATACTTCATATATCCAGAGATATTTCTGATATGGCCATGATAATGCAGATGTAATCAACAAATAACATCTTTGAACTAAATTTCTGAAAGTAATTTGAAGATGGACAAATAAATATTTTCTCTTTCTTTCCCTGGTGCACAATAAATAGAGACTCTCTCATTTCTTCCTCCTAATGCTCACTGGCTTCTGGACAAGTCAGATAAATGAGTTCAACTAAAATGAGTTCTCAGTAATATGCACTTTCAGAAATAGAAAATGGTCCACAAACGTTCATAGCAACATTATTGATAAAAGCCAAAACGTGAAAACAACTCAAATGTCCATCAGATTATAAGTGGATACTGGTATAAACACACAGTAGAATATTACTCAGTCATGGAAAGAAACCAAATACTGAAAAATGCTACCGCATGAGAAAACCTCAGAAACATTATGCAGAAGGAAAGAATCCAGATACAAAAGGTCCCATGGTATAGCACCTAGGTTCCGTGGTACAGCACCTGTGGTACAGTTCTGTTTGTATAAACATCCGGCTCCTACAGACAGAAGTATGCCAGGAGCTGGAGAGAGAGGAATGGAAATCAACTGCTAATGGGCAGGGGCTCTCTTTGGGGAGTTATTAAAGCATTTGGGGATTAGACAGCAGCAATAACTGAACAACTTTGAGAATATACAAAAAGCCAAAAAATGGAGGGGCAGGGGTTTAAGGTGAATTTTGAGGCATATGAATTATATCTCAAGAGGAAAGAAAAAGAGATGCCATCAGTTACCCAAGGCCCCATTCTCCACTCCACAATGCTCAAACTCAAGGATTCTGTGCTGTCTGGATAAGGCCACAGTGAAGGTAATTTTTTTTTTTTTGAGACAGAGTTTTAACCTATCCCATGGCGTCATCACAGCCTACAGCAACCTCAGAATCCTGGACTCAAGCAATCTTCTTGCCTCAGACTCCCTAGTAGCTGGGACTACAGGCACTCGCCACAACACCCAGACAGTTTTTCTATTTTTGGTAGAGATGGGGTCTTGCTGGTTTCAAACTCCTGAGCTCAAGTGATTCTCCCACCTCAGACTCCCAGAGTGCTAGGATTTCAGGAGAGAGCCACCACGCCTGACATGAAGATAATTAATAGTTGTTGTCCCTCTTGGACATGACAGCAATTGGCCCTTAAATTTACAGGGGCTTGTCAATACTACTATGAAATCAATATATAACCACCTACACCCTCATACGAATGGCAAAACAACTATAGTCCAGAAAGTAGAAGAGAACAGGAGAGAGAGGGGAGAGGAGGGAGGATATGGGAGGAGGAAGGGTATTTGGGGGGACCTCACCTAATGTGCATGATGCAATGGTACTATTCAAAACTATTTAGAAATGAGTATAATTGTGATGAATGTGTTACTTAGTTCAATATAAGCATTTCACATTGTGTATTGAAGCAGTACCCTGAACCCCATAAATTCATCAATGTACAAAGTTATGACTTAATAAAATATAATTTTAAAAAAATTTACAGGGTCTTGTAGCCTCGGAGATGTCACTAGGACCCCACTAGGATTCAAGGCATTACCCACAGCAGTGGCCACCCTGACCCGGTACTGTCATCAGCTCCCCTCTCCTCTGTTCACAACCCCCTCTGGCCACACCCCCTCAGACTCCCAAGAACCTCTCCGTTCGTGTGCACCTGTGCACCTGTCTGGAGCTCCCGGAAGTAAAGGGAGCAGCTAACAAGGCTGCTGAAAATCTCTTCTGCTCTATCAATTTCTAACTTAGACAGTTTCCTGTACAATGTTACCACCAAGGGGACTGGGTGAAGGGTACACGGGACCTCTCTGTACTAATTTTGCAATTCTCTATGAATCCATAATTTTATCAAAATAAATTTTTTTTAACTTTTTTATTTATTTTTATTTGTGAGGGCACAAACAACCAAGTTACAATATTTGCATTTGTTAGGTAGAGTTCCCCCTTGTAGTTATGTTCTAGACCCAAAAGGTGTGCCATATACCCCTCCATGGTGCCCATTCGGTGGGAGCACCCCAAACACTTTTAAAGACATATAAAATCAATATGTGGTTGATTTGAATATGCATCATACCAGCAACTAATTGACATTAAAAATGAGGTTCTAGAATGTAGTTCTTGCTTTATTACCAAAAATTCTTCTAGTACATTCCACCAGAAAACAGAACAGAGCCCGCACATTTCTTACTAAGGGTGTCCTCAGGTATTTCCCAGGCTTGAATAAATTTTGGGTGTTCACAGACCATCCAAGTTATACTGAATTTTATAGTTTTAGATGTTTTGAGGAACAACTAAGTTTCCAACACTTTAAGTACTGAAAATATAAGAACATGGATCCTACTATCTCAGTGCAAACAGAAAAAAAGTTTTATTATATACAGATGACCCTTGGACAACTTAGGGCTTACGAGTGCTGACCACTCACACAGACAAAAATCCACATGCAAATTTTGCCTCCCCTAAAACTTATTTACTGACAGCCTACTGTTAACTGGAAGCCTTCCTGATAACGTAAGTGGTCGAGTAACACACATTTTGCATGTGATGGGTCTCATACGCTGTAATTCCACAATAAAGTAAGCCAGAGAAAAGAAAATGTTATGAAGAAAATCTGAAGGGAGAAGAAATACATTTACTATTCCTTAAGCGGAAGTATGTCACCATGAGGTCTTCATTTTCATTGTCTTCATGTAGAGTAGGCTGAGGAAGAGGAGGAGGGGTTGGTCTCCCCTTCACCAGAGCAGCAGAGGCGGAAAGGACAGGAGAGGCAGAAACACTCTGTGTAACTTTTACTGAAGAAGACTCTGAGTGTAAGTGGGCCCATGCAGTTCAGACCTGTGTTGTTCAAGGGTTAACTATAGTAGAAATTTTACAAAATGTCCTGAAAACAAGGAAAGAAGTGATTGATTCTATTTCGGAGGGTGAGAAAGAGGTCACCCAAAGAGGTGATGGTCAACCTGCGCTTTACAGAGGAGAAGTAAGGAAAAACGAGGTCAAGAAGCCAAGATCAAAAGGCCAAATGCTTCATCAAAGATGCTTCTTTCTCTCCAAGATGAATATTTTTTTAAGTAGATTCTGTTTCCTTTTACAAGTAACTTGCTTATAGCTCAGAAGAGAAGAAAGAGAGAAAGGAAGAGAATGGAAGGAGGGAAGGAAAGAAGGGAGGGAGGGACAGAGGGAGGAAGGAAGTGAGGAAGAGAAAGAGAAAGAGGAAGAGGGAGGGAGGAAGAAAATCAAACAGAACAGATTCAAAGAGAAAAATAAAAGTTCATCCTCTGGTGTGACTGTTCTTGGTAATGACTGCACTGTTAGTTGTACAGTGCAACCACAGGCAGTCACGTGCTCCATCAACACAGATGGTTCCTGCCGACAGGGTCTGTACAGCTATCAGATTTTCTGTGCGATGGTTCCATACATGTTTTTGTTTATTAAAAAAGAAGAAAAGTTCATCCTCTCTTGCCTCCCATATCTCTCAACCCCCTTCCCAGGGATAAATGGTTGCTTGTGATCTAAAACTTTCCAAAGTATAACAGGCATAGGACCACACAGAGATAGGATTATATTTTAAATATTGCTCTGAAACTTGCATTTTTCACTTAACAATGTAACTTGCATGGAGGTATTCAGGTCCTCTTCACTCTCTTTAAGGTGGCAGAATATCTTCTGAACAACTATATCACACTTTACTTAAGCAGACCCTTACCAATTGATCTGTCAGAGCTTTGAAACAGGACAAAACTTAAGCCTCTTTCAAAAAGTAATTCTAGGAAATGTCAAAAAAAAGAACTTTTTATTCAAAAGGCTGTTTTCACAAGTAACAATAAGCCATAATGCTAAGATCTTCACCTAAGTACTTCACCCACACCTGTAGTTACAAATGACCGTCCAACACCCTTCTAGAATGAAGACTCAGGGACTCTATTCTTCTTTGTCCCAATTACTTGTAACATTTCAGAAAAGTTCCTTAATAGTTTTGAGTCTTTATTGTACCATCTGGGGAGATGAGATAAGAAAGGTTGTTTTATTGGCTAGCATTCATTTATAACGCATTTTTGTTTTTCAGTGAAAAGTAACCATATAGAAAACAGAAAAATTGCAGCCAATTTCAACGGAGAGAGTATTTAACATCCTGCAGGCCTTTGCATCTTGTCCCTCTCACCCTTTCTCCTTCACAAGAGGGTCCCATTTCCACCTTTCTTTGGAAGTGCTCTAAATTTTCTCTTTGTTCTTTCTAAATAAAATCTCTCTTTGTTGTCATGGGAAGAAACAAAAAGAAAAAAGAAAAACTATGTAATAGCACAAGGTCTGTACACAGAACAGCCAATCCATGGCAACACCTCATGCTGGAGTCTAATCATAAACCAGCTGCACCTGCCCCCAGCCTCGGAGGAGAAACTACCTGCTCACGGAGTCAGCAGGCCCTGCAGAGGGGCTGACTGCATGTGCTCTAAGGCTGTGGAAGATGTTCCGCAAAGGTACAGGAGGGAGTTACTAGGACTTCATTTATTTCTTTTTATACTTAAGTTTTTCTCATCCTTGTTAATGTTTCTGTTTTACCCTTAAACTTGAACTTCCATTCCACTTCTGCCACAAAATTTATTCAGATTTGATATATTTTTATATTTGATAGACTTTTTATTGATTATCAGAAGTGAATTAAAGTTTGAAGTTTTTTTTTTTATTATTCTCCATCAATGTAGGTCTGTAAATAATTTGTAAAGAGTCTTCAGAATTTCAACTATCATTATAAATAGTAGTATGGCATTGAGGAAAATGATAGCCTCTATTATGTGAAAAGTAAAAAAAAAAAAAAAAAAAAGCGAAAAAGACTTGTAAATGTTCACCTCAGTAACTTTTTGCTCAGGTCTTTTTCCATTCCAGTTCCTATATCCACAGACAAGCATGACTTATTGCTAAAATGGCACAGAGCATAGCACTAATGCTATCCCAGCTTTTCTTTTTTCTAAATGAAATGCTGAAAACATTTATTCATCTAAATAAGTAGATAGGAATGAAGGCATTTGTAGTTACAGCAATGTTACTCAATTCCTGAGTTACTCTGGGTTTTATTTCCCAAATTACTGCATAGTTAAGTACTCTGAAAGCTTATTTTTGCATAATCTATTGGCTGACAACTCAACCGGGTTCTCCTTCAATTTTGCTGTAAGCCAAGAACTGCAAATCATCTGACTTAAAAGAAATCACTAAGTACTCAGAAGAGCCTATCACTTTCTTAGGCACATATCAATATTTCAAATGAACCCTTTGTGTGAAGATTTTAACAGTGCAGTGCAATATTCTACAGTAAAATTTGGGATGAGAGTGAGGCATGCCTTTCTTCTGTAAAGTAGTAAAGGGGACCATTACCAAAGGGGAATCAGAAAAACACCTACATCACAGAGGTATCTTTAGGAAGATCAATGATCTTCAGACTGATTAGCTAAAACTCTCCACACTGCAGGAGGGGCTTCAGGATGGCCAAGTAGAGGCATTTCCTACTCACTTCCTCCACGGAAAAGAGCCAAAATAGTAGATAATCACACTTTGAACAGATCATCCAAGAGAGAACACTGGAACTCAACAGAAAAGTGACAGGAAATACCTAAAGCAAGGGAGGAGGAAGAAGCAAGGCAGCCTGCTTGCTGGGAGCTGAGAGAATCTCCCTAATATGGGGAAAGGATAAGTGAGAGACCCTCAGTAGTCACCATCCCAGTGTGGACTCCTGCAGTTCTAGCCATGGAAGAGCCCCTTGTGCTCCCAAGGCCTGGAATGCAGAAACTGTGTGATGGCTTTGCTCCAGGAAAGGAGCTCAGACTGGCTCCCACACATACCCTGCAGCTAAGTGTCATTTTAGAACCTTGACCCTAAAAGAGTACACACGGTCCTGGAACCCAATGGTGTTGGGTTGAGGTGCAAGAAGGGCTGAAGTGTGACCAACATTTGGGCTACCAAAGCACCAGCTGGGACTGAGACAAGAATAGCACTTGTGTGCCCCTCCCACTGGTGACCCTACCCCCACCAATGGCAAGGCAGTAGTTCAGCCAGGACTGAGCATCATCCAAGTGTTTTGCTGGGGGGTTTGGATTTCCCTTCCCCTACCAACCACATCTGGTAGCTGCACACACCATGATGGAGGGCCTAAAGGTGAGCATGCCTACCACAGATTTACCTGTCCTGGGCTGGAGCACACAGTCTGAGTGCCAGCAGATTGCCTAGCCTAGCACACCACCATTGGCAACTGACCAGTCCTCCTGAGAACCTCCTGAGTCCTCCTGAGAACCAGTTGGTAGTTAGAGCTACCAACTCAGCCACTACCCTCTCAGCTGGACCTACCTGCACACTCCACCTGCAGGCCTAGATACTGACCCACCCTGACCATTACAGTTACCACCAACACTAGTGCTCACCACTCAGAACCCAAAGAGTGTTTCAACATTTCCACTGCCACCACCCATGCCATTCTGGTTGACCAAGGACCAAGAACAACCCACCTTGGCTCACCACTGCCACTAGTAGTACCAGAGTAACACATGGTCCAATTCTTGGACCACCCACTAACACCAGTGCCAGCACAACCCAGAGGCCCAAAAACAGGTAAGCTTAGCTGATTGCTGCCACCACTGGGGCCCAAAGACTGGGCTACCTAGACTCATGGATGGACATCATTGCTCATGTCTGTAATCTCAGCACTTTGGGAGGCCAAGGCAAAAGAATTGCTTGAGGCCAGGAGTTTGTGACCAGGCCATAGAGCAAGACCCTGAGTCTACATGGCACATGCCTATAGCCCCAGCTACATGACAGGTTATGGTAGGAGAATCTGTTGAGTCCAGGAGTTTGAGGATGCAAGGAGTTATGATTGGGCCAGTGCGCTTCAGCCTGGGTACCTGAGTAAGACCTTTTCTTTTTTTTTTTTTTTTTTTTTTACTTTTTAAAATTATTTTTTATTAAATCATAACTTTGTACATTGATGCATTTATGGGGTTCAGGGTACTGCTTTGATATACAATCTGAAATGTTTACATTGAACTAAGTACTACATCCATCACAATTATACTCATTTCTTAATACTTTTGAAATGTACCATTGCATCATGCACATTAGGTATTTGGGGAGATCTCATCTAATGTGCATGAGACCCTTTCTCTTAAAAAAAAATCATGAAATCCTTTTTTAAAAAACATCAAATTATTAGTTCAGTGAGAGATAAGAGAATTCTAAAAAACAATACAAAGATATCAGAAAAAATATTTAGAATATGACTAAAAAATTCACCAAATTTCCCTGGTGAATTTTGAAATTTTTCTAAATTTACCAGATAGATATCATTACAGAACAAGACAGAAATTCCAGAACTGAAGAATTCATTGAATGAAATGCAAAATACATTTGAAAGCCTCAACAATAGACTAGATCGAACAGAAGAAAATCTCATGGCCAGGCACAGTGGTTCATACCTATATTCTTAGCAATCTGGGGAGCTGAGGTGGGTGGATTACCTAAGTTCAGGAGTTTAAGACCAACATGAGCAAGAGCAAGACCCCATCTTTACTAACAGTAGAAAAACTAGCCAGGCATTGTGGTGGATGCCTTGTAGTCAGAGCTACTCAGGAGGCTGAGGCAAGAGAATCTCTTGAATCCAGGAGTTTGAGATTGCTGTGAGTTATGATGACACCACTGCACTTTACCCAGGATGACAGAGTGAGACTCTGTCTCAAAGAAAAAAAAAAGAAAAGAACCTTAGAACTCGAAGACAAGTCTTTTGAAATAACTCAATCAAACAAAAATAAAGAGAAAAAGAATAAAAAGGAATGAGCAAAAATTCTGTGACATATGACACCATAAAGTGATCAAATACATTATGTAAATCAGAGAAAATGAAAGGGATAGAAAACCTCTTTAACAAAATAATAGATAAAAACGTCAGCTCTGAAATCTCCAAACAGATACAATGCAAAAAGTTCTTCTCCATGGCATATTATAGGCAAACTGTCTAAAGTCAAAGACAAAGAGAGAATTTTAAAATCAGCAAAAGAAAAGCATCTCACCACTTATAAGGCAACCCCCAGGCAAAGCCAGGAGAGAATGGGATGATATATTCAAAGTGCTAAAAGAAAAAAAGCCATTCAAGGACACCATATCAAGAAAAAATGTTCTTCATAAATGAAGGAGAAATAAACTATTTCCCAGACAATAAAAGTTGGGGAATTAAAACTGGCCCTGCAAGAAATACTCAAGGAAGTTCTCAATCTGGAAGGGAACAGATGACATTTACCATCATGAAAATCTGTGAAAGTATAAAATTCACTGGTAAACCAAATACACAAATGAATATACAAATACAACATACCAAGCCCTGTGGGATTCCACAAAAGCAGTGCTAAGAGGAAAATTCATAGCAATAACCACCTACATAAAAAA